GGGCTCCCTCACTGCTACAGTGTACGGTGCTCCCTCACTGCTACAGTGTACGGTGCTCCCTCACTGCTACAGTGTACGGTGCTCCGTCACTGCTACAGTGTACGGTGCTCCGTCACTGCTACAGTGTACGGTGCTCCGTCACTGCTACAGTGTACGGTGCTCCGTCACTGCTACAGTGTACGGTGCTCCGTCACTGCTACAGTGTACGGTGCTCCGTCACTGCTACAGTGTACGGTGCTCCGTCACTGCTACAGTGTACGGTGCTCCCTCACTGCTACAGTGTACGGTGCTCCCCTCACTGCTACAGTGTACGGTGCCCCGTCACTGCTACAGTGTACTGGGTTCCCCCCTCACTGCTACAGTGTACAGTGCTCCCTCACTGCTACAGTGTACGGTGCTCCCTCACTGCTACAGTGTACGGTGCTCCCTCACTGCTACAGTGTACGGGGCTCCCTCACTGCTACAGTGTACGGTGCTCCCTCACTGCTACAGTGTACGGTGCTCCCTCACTGCTACAGTGTACGGGGCTCCCTCACTGCTACAGTGTACGGTGCTCCCTCACTGCTGCAGTGTACGGTGCTCCCTCACTGCTGCAGTGTACGGTGCTCCCTCACTGCTACAGTGTACGGGGCTCCCTCACTGCTACAGTGTACGGGGCTCCCTCACTGCTACAGTGTACGGTGCTCCCTCACTGCTGCAGTGTACGGTGCTCCCTCACTGCTACAGTGTACGGGGCTCCCTCACTGCTACAGTGTACGGTGCTCCCTCACTGCTCCTCTCGTACATACAGCAATGAAGCGCGTCAATGACTGGGCAAGTACAACTCAAACCGAACTTGCAGGCATATACCTTGCCACTGAATTTTTAAAAGACAAAGGCAGTGGACTTATATACTGTGACTCGCAGAGTGCACTCCTGGCATTGAACGCACATAGTAGTGACACCCAGAAAATAGTCAGTGATATTCGAATGATTGTTTTAGCTACTAAAGAAAACAGATTTGAAATTAAATTCCTATGGATACCATCACATGTTGGCATCTCAAGGCATGACACTGTTGATATGCTTGCTAAGTCAGCCTGTAGAAAAACAGTGGTAGAAATTGATATGGGTGTTTCATTAGCAGTGACAAAGAGAATACTTAAACAAGTATCTAATGAAGATCTCACCGACCTAACAAATTCACAAAGACCTGAAAGTTGTAGCATTAAATATTATGATAGATATCGTGACGAAACATTCTCATATGGGACTAATAGAACAAAAACCCGGCAATGTGATGTTATAGTGGCCAGAATACGCCTGGGATATAGACGTATCTGGCAGCTTTCTCAAAACCCAAATGTTGAGTACACAATGTGTCAACTTTGTGAAAGAGAAAACATGCACTCTCTTGAACATTATATTGTAGAATGTCCCATACTGACTGGCTTTCGCCCTCCTGGGCTGAGGTATGCTGAACTGTGTAATTACTATATGAGTACTGGAACACTTGATGATATATTGGACTTGTACCCAAGATTAACCATGTAATGTATCAATTATACAATGTATGTATGTGATGTAACTATATAACCTGAGCTTGTAAAAGCACCTTAATCACCTTCAGTGATTAAGTGCGTGGTTGATTGTTCAATAAACCCCTGAAGTATATGTTTTAACACATCTCTAACCCTGTCCATGGAGGACAAGAAAATGTATATATGCTGGTTAGCATTGTAGAAGTGTGGCCACGTCTGTGGTAGAAAATAATAATAAAAAAACTGCTCCAGACACTGACACAATGCACTCTGTGATAGGTATGAGAACCTTGACCCATAATCAAATTATTTTACACTCATTAAATCACAGAAACACAAGCACAGTGTCGGTTACACGGACAATCCCAGGCAGAATTGCATCGAGCAATCAGAGGCACAAATGCCTGGAAAATCAGAGGCACAAATGCCTGGAAAATCAGAGGCACAAATGCCTGGAAAATCAGAGGCACAAATGCCAGGAAAATCAGAGGCACAAATGCCAGGAAAATCAGAGGCACAAATGCCAGGAAAATCAGAGGCACAAATGCCAGGAAAATCAGAGGCACAAATGCCAGGAAAATCAGAGGCACAAATGCCAGGAAAATCAGAGGCACAAATGCCAGGAAAATCAGAGGCACAAATGCCAGGAAAATCAGAGGCACAAATGCCAGGAAAATCAGAGGCACAAATGCCAGGAAAATCAGAGGCACAAATGCCAGGAAAATCAGAGGCACAAATGCCAGGAAAATCAGAGGCACAAATGCCAGGAAAATCAGAGGCACAAATGCCAGGAAAATCAGAGGCACAAATGCCAGGAAAATCAGAGGCACAAATGCCAGGAAAATCAGAGGCACAAATGCCAGGAAAATCAGAGGCACAAATGCCAGGAAAATCAGAGGCACAAATGCCAGGAAAATCAGAGGCACAAATGCCAGGAAAATCAGAGGCACAAATGCCAGGAAAATCAGAGGCACAAATGGGTGGGAAATAAGAGCACGAGACCACAGGATTGCCGCGCTCCAGGGGCTCTTAACAGGGGACAGGGACGCACAGGTAAAAGTCACAACGTGTTTATGTTAAGTAAATCTAGAGCAGCCCTGGTGTTCCCCTAGCAGGCCCTGGTGTTCCCCTAGCAGGGGAGCCTGGTTGCCAACCAACCAACAGCCAACCAGCCAACAGCCTGGTTGATCAGTCCAGCAACCAGGAGGCCTGGTCGACGACCGGGCCGCGGGGACACTAAGCCCCGGAAGCACCTCAAGGTAGCCTCAAGGTAGCAGGCCCTGGTGTTCCCCTAGCAGTCTCTGGTGTTCCCCTAGCAGGCCCTGGTGTTCCCCTAGCAGGCCCTGGTGTTCCCCTAGCAGGCCCTGGTGTTCCCCTAGCAGGCCCTGGTGTTCCCCTAGCAGGCCCTAGTGTTCCCCTAGCAGGCCCTGGTGTTCCCCTAGCAGGCCCTGGTGTTCCCCTAGCAGGCCCTGGTGTTCCCCTAGCAGGCCCTGGTGTTCCCCTAGCAGGCCCTGGTGTTCCCCTAGCAGGCCCTGGTGTTCCCCTAGCAGGCCCTGGTGTTCCCCTAGCAGGCCCTGGTGTTCCCCTAGCAGGCCCTGGTGTTCCCCTAGCAGGCCCTGGAGTTCCCCCTAGCAGGCTCTGGTGTTCCCCTAGCAGGCCCTGGTGTTCCCCTAGCAGGCCTTGGTGTTCCCCTAGCAGGCCCTGGTGTTCCCCTAGCAGGCCCTGGTGTTCCCCTAGCAGGCCCTGGTGTTCCCCTAGCAGGCCCTGGTGTTCCCCTAGCAGGCCCTGGTGTTCCCCTAGCAGGCCCTGGTATTCCCCCTAGCAGGCCCTGGTGTTCCCCTAGGAGGCCCTGTGAAGAGCTCAGTCCCCCAGGGTACTGTGCTTGCTCCAGTACTTTTTCTCATCCTCATATCGGACATAGACAAGGACACAACCTATAGCACTGTATCATCCTTTGCAGATGACACTGGGATCTTTATGAGAGTAGACAACATAGAGGACACGGCAAACCTCCAATCAGATGTAAATCAGGTCTTTCTATGGGCAACAGAAAATAATATGGTATTTAATGAAGACAAATTCCAGGTCATGCGATACGAAAATGTGAAAATATAAAAACGGAAACCACGTACAAAACGCAGTCAAATCATAACATAGAACGAAAAGGCAATGTAAAGGGTTTGGGTGTAGTCATGTCGGAAGACCTTACCTTTGAAGAACACAATAAAGTAGCCGTCACAACTGCAAGAAAAATGACAAGTTGGATAACAAGAACCAGGCTGCGAGCAGCCGCGTCCAACAGCCTGGTTGACCAGTCCAGGAACCAGGAGGCCATGGGGACGATGAGCCCCGAAATCATGGCAAGGGATCGCAAGGTAATCCCTAGCAATGGACAGCACGTGGGACCTGGGACCGGCAGACCGCAAACAGCCTCCCTCCTGTCCGTTCTCGGGGCCACACGCGCCTATGTCTGTACGCATTTACCTCAACAACAAGGGAGTGTGAAACTAACCCAAGCCATTAACCTAAATATGATTATGCAACTCCAAATTCTATTTCTTATGGCACTCATCCTCCATGCCTCTTCCTTAGCTCGCTCGCTCGCTTGCTCTTGCTCTCGCTCTCTCTCTTTCTCTCTTGCTCTCGCTCTCTCTCTCTCTTGCTCTCTCTCTCCTCCTGTCTCCACCACCACTTTCTCCCTCCAGAACAGAACCATGAGGGTTGCGTTGAGGGCTGGGGTCAGTATTTTGTAGAATACGGAATACTTATTTCGTAGAATACGTATTCTATAAAAATATACTTATTTCAATAGATATACTTGTATATCCTCATATTATTTATATATATATATATATATATATATATATATATATATATATATATATATATATATATATATATATATATATATATATATATATATATATATATAATTATATCGGCGTCAACGCTCACTCCACACCGTGTGCTCCAGACAAAACACTGCCCCAGCCCTCCCTTGCCTGCCCACCCAATGTTACACCACTAAATCTTTCTCCTCATAAATACTTCCTTAGAGTTGGTGAGCTGCTGCCTGACGGAAAAATGTTTCTGATAGTTTTTGTGAATGCTCGCGTTCGTGTGTACTCACCTACTTGTACTTGCAGGGGTTGAGCTCTGGCTCTTTGGTCCCGCCTCTCAACTGTCAATCAACTGGTGTACAGGTTCCTGAGCTTGTAATGACCGCTTTACCCTGTCGTAATAACCGCGGCCTCTATTGTAATAACCCAATGTTCCCCAGCATCAATCCTGTTATCTTGTGATCTCTCATAATCGTACTATACGCTCTCTATTGTAATTCTCCGTCTCTCTTCACTCAATACCCCAGCTTAACACTGTTACAGTCCAGCATGACCCCTCACTGGACGGCCACGTATATAAGAGGAATATTAAATGAGGAAGATACACCAAGGACAAGGGTTATTCGCTTATTACTAATTATAAAATAAAAACCATTAAAGCACTGCCACCACCTTCCCGACCAACCATACCTGAATGTGTCTATCACCGATCCCCCAGGAAGGCAAGGAATCAGTAACCATGGGACTCCGGGTAATATGAATTTCAGTAATAAATTTTGGAAAATTAGTTTGTGTAATTTACGTTACTAATTTAAATCCAAGGGCAACTTTAGTATCGATTAATTGTTAGGAGAACCTGGGGGGGCTCCCAATACAACACCTAAAAATGACAGAGTAGCAAAATATATCAAAGGGGAGTTAAGTGAATACCACTGGACAAGCTATACAATTTATTTTATGAACCATGTAAATTAAGACAATTTGAACATATACCCTATTCTATTTCCCTAGAGGCACAATGGATATTTATTGAGGGCACGAAACTCAAGTGCTACTATACCTTAAATACCCGCACTACGGCCACGATGTTGATGGCTGCCCTCAGCCCCGAGGATACGGGCTTGCGGCCCTGTTCCTAATACACTCCCAAGACACACTGATGAAATTTTGTTTTTCCAACTTATTGCTGGGAAGGATTACTCCTCCCACCATCTAATACAGCCCCAGGGCTCCACCCATTATTTTGGCAATGGCCAACCATTTAACACGTAGGCCTGAGGTCTGGCTCTCTAGGGCCAATAAGGACTTGGCCCTTATCTCAGGCCAATCACCTTCACTGATCTGTCGTGGAAAGCTACATGAATTCCTGAAGATTGAGTCAGCTCTCCCCAGCTAAAGAGAAGGAGGACAAGGCGCGTCTATGGAGCCCAGGCACCTGCGAGCAATGTTTACAAAACTGATAAATTATGTTCAAGCCTGTCTCCTCTAAGATAGCGAGTAGGGACATTTGACTCTGCCTCGTATGGGGAAGAGGCCGGTGAGAGGGAAAGAGAGGGGATGAGAGGGGATGGAGAGGGGAACATCTGAGTGGGGAATTGAATGGGAGAAGCCAAGGTATCCAAGACCACCCCACCCTCAGGTCAACCTCTTGACCCTGACAAATGGGCGACAAGGCGGGGGGGGAGGAAGAGGAGACGAATGACGGCCAAGGGGAGGGGAGAAGGAAGGAGGGGAGAGGGAGAAGGAAAGGAGGGGAGAAGGAGAGGGAAAAGAGGGGAGAAGGGAGAACCAATGAGCTGAGCCCCAGATCATTACAAGCTTACTGGGCTCAGGAACCCAGTAAGCTCAGGAACCTGTGTATTATCATATCTACATTGTAAACTGTCTATGGAGTCAGCCTCCACCACATCACTGCCTAATGCATTCCATCCGTTAACTACTCTGACACTGAAAAAGTTCCTTCTAACGTCCCTGTGGCTCATGTGGGTACTCAGTTTCCACCTGTGTCCCCTTGTTCGCGTACCACCAGTGTTGAATAGTTTATCCTTGTTTACCCGGTCGATTCCCCTGAGGATTTTGTAGGTTGTGATCATGTCTCCCCCACTGTAATCCCTCAGCAAGCTGTAGCAGCACCATCGTCAACAGCAGCTGCAGCACAAGCAGCAGCAGGAGTATCAACAAGAGTAGCAGCACTTACATCACTACCTACGACATTGGGAAGCGTCACTCTCAATTAAAGTAATGAAGCAGAAATCCGTAAGTGAGGTGGCGGGCAGCCAGTTACCTCTCCTCGGAAATCCTCCTCCACTACCGCTGATACAGCAGAAGGTGGGGGAGGAAACTGCTGCAATGTGCAACTGCAGTTACTTTTAACTCTTGACTGTGTTAATGGTAACATGTATCTTCCCTCGGGGATACGAACACGCTTGTGATGTCAGGAGCCAGACGCCAGTTACCTGTAGCAGTCATTTGTTGAGGGCCAAGATGCTAAGACTAAGACCTTCACACGTCAACATACATAACAGTATTGTATGCTATACAATACTGGTATGTATGATATCCTGTTATCCTACTTCAGGTCATACTGAAGTAGGATAACAGGTAACAATATTACTTGTGCTTCAAGAAGGGGAACACTGGGAGAGTGCGCGGGTCACAGTTCGGCAGGAGACCAATATGACCTTCAAGAGAGAGGGGAACTATTACTCTTCCTTGCTTCAGGCAGCAAGGATGAACACAACTACCACAGGGAACTACTCAAGCTTTAGAGAGTTTGAGAGTTAGAGAGCAGCTACAGTATACATCGCAGGGGGGGGGGTGTACTCACCTAGTTGCACTTGAGGGGGTTGAGCTCTGCTCTTTCGGCCCGCCTCTCAACTGTCAATCAATCAACTGTTACTAACTACTAACTATTTTTTTTCCTCCACACACACACACACACACACACACACACACACACACACACACACACACACACACACACACACACACACACATACATTCTCAGGAAGCAGCCCGTAACAGCTGTCTGACTCCCAGGTACCTATTTACTGCTAGGTAACAGTGCATCAGGGTGAAAGAAACTGCCCATCTGTTTCCGGAAAAATACAAAAACCCTGAGTCACCCCCTGGCCCTCCCT